CATAGCTGATCCTTTTTTCACACACAAAAAAGATGTTTGCAAGAATTTTTTATTTCTTTACTAATAAAGTCTTAATACTATCCCTAAACCAACTTAAAGTTTTATTTCAAGAAATACAGTACTTCAAAACTTTCCTTCCTTATTTATATTTGTTTTCAAACAAAAACTTGACTTCCTATAATCTAGAAAAGTCAAGAAACACCTCTATCAATGGTAAGAAAGTTTTGCAAGGAAGAAAAACTAATAATGTAGTACTTGAAGCCTTTCATATTGAAGTATATCTATAGAGATTTTTAACAGTGGGAAATAGTAAACATCAGGCTATATTTCAAGGTGTTTGCCTACTATATCTTCTCTCTTATAGTCATATAAAATTTTTTTTTGATTTTCTAAAGAATTTTAGTTTAATCCTAAATTTTAGATAACACAACCTATTGCAAAATATGATTGATAAACATGAAACATATTAGAAGCTAAATATAAACAAGTATCTACTGACTATTTCATGTATTCTGATAATACCATTGATGAAAGAAAGAGAATTTATTGATATAAAATCCTCCATTCCTTCAAATAAAGTATAACGAAAGCAAAGAAATCCTAGAATTATTAGGACAGGCACTAAATTCTCTAGGCGATAAAAAGATAGTTATTTGTTCAAGCTGAGATCTTCAACTTTTTACTATCCCAGTTAGACAAAATATATAAAAAAAATTATTTTCTTATCCCGATCAAATAATAAGACTAAAAAGTAAAAAACTATGAGTCACTATCCTTCTCTAGGATAAAAAATATATTTTTTCAGATATTATTATATATAATAATATTATAATTGATGAGAATCTCCACTATTCTGCAAGATTCTTCTATCATTATAAGGTAAAAAAACTATTAAGAAATTTGACTTTTTGAGAAATAAAAGATGCTCATCAATAAAATTCATTTAACTAGGCATAGTTGCTAAAAGATATCAGTAGTTATATAATATGATTAAAAGATCACATAAGAACCTGGGATTCATCATAAATTATTACTTGATGTGAATGGATACAAAATCAATATTAAAAGAAAGAAAGTAACAAACAAGATATTGGATCTGAGTAGATAATAAGTATCTTGGATAGTTACAAAAAATAATCAAGATCACAAATAGATAAGTTTTCTAGATGGTTAGGAAGAAAAATAACATTCCAAAAGAATTGGTTCCTAATGAGAAAAGATTTCTAATAGAGGTTCTTTGAAGAATATGAAACATCTTTATTTTTCTTTTATCCTTTTATTTTTATCATATGTATATACATTTGTATATTTTTAGATATTCTTCTTTCTTTTATTTTTCATTTTCTTTATGATAGTTTCTCGAAATCAATTTCTTGGAGATAATAGATAGTAACAATCTGTTAACAATGATGAATAAGTTAGGAGCATCTTTACTCAAAACTTATTCTAGAGCAAAATATTATTTCCAAGGTCACACTTAGAGACTTAAGCTTATTTGAGAATTGAAAGCTGTTAATGAGTGAGTTAACATAAGATTTAGATTAACTATAATATAATTGATCAATATATCTCTATCAGTTTTCTTAAAGATTAATAAATATACTATGCTGATCTGACCACATGTTTAAAAAAAAAAAAAAAAACTATAGAATCCATAATCAAAATTATAACAAAATTTATCAAGATCTATAAAATCTCTGAAATTATTAAAAATATTATTACTAATATCAAATTTTTAATATATAATATTTGATTAAACAAATAAAAAACATAATAGAATATAAAAAATCAAAAAAAAAAAATAGAAAATAATATAATTCAAAAAGTAAATAAAATACAGTATATAAGAAACAATAAATAATCTTTCAATTAATATAAACCTATTAATAAAATTATTGAAGAAATTTCAAATACCATATACATATATCTATATATAAAATATTAATAGTATTTAGGTATATTAGTTTATTTTTTTTATTTTTTATTTTTTTTTTATTTTTTAAATCACAACTAGTATTAGATGCAAGCTTTATTTAAAAATTAACTTAATTTGACGGATAATTAAATCCTATAGCAGTTACATCAATCATTTTCTACAAACTATATATTTCTATATCTATGCAGCTTAATGATAACCTATCGCGGTTTGTTCTAGATAGACCTACAACCACTCTGTGAGTGGACAGACCTAGCTAGGGACCAGATAATTAATACACAGTCATCAACAGCTAGTCTAGGCTAGTTAGTATTGAGCTTTACAAATTTTTTATTGTTTTCACTAAGCTAGTCTATAGTTTGTATATATCCGACAAGATATGTAATACCTTCCAATATTCCCTATATATTATTCACTCAGACCTCAGAAGGAGGCACTTTTCTTCTTTATCACCATCTGTGACATCAGATCAGTCTCTATTGATTGATTTTCAATTAAGCGGAGTACCAGATTGGGATATCCTGAGCTAGGAGAGTGGAGGTCCTAGAGGTTGCCAGGTCAAAGTAGGCTTGGGACGTTTTTGTGAGAGACTAGATCAGAAGCCTTTTTTCATGTAATCCTTCCAGTAGTACGACTATAGATCTCAGCCCCTGATTGACAGAAGGCCAGAAGTCTCATCTTAATGTAGCCTAACCTGCTTAGAACTTGTTCCAGATGATTGGATACGACTTTCACAAGATAACCGGTCAAACCTGATCAGAAGGATAATTTTTTTTTTTTGCATTTGATCCTTAAGTAATATTGAATTACAGACCTTGTGATTGCGACTTGAGAGCACTACTACTGTGCTATTGATCCACAGATCTTAAGTACATTAGTTTATTTTATTGTATATATATATAATAGATATATAAAAAAACTATTTATAAAATTGTTTTGTAATTTGAAGTATATGTGTTATATATAAAATCAATAAAATAAATAATATTTTTTTTATAAACTTGCAGCCAGGCTAGATTTTTTTTTTTTTGAAAGGAGGAAACTGATTCATTCTATACTTTTTCTGATACTTTATTAAAAAAAGATTATTTTAGGAACAATCAGAATTTATATTTTTTTATATTACTTGAGAATTTACAGATCACTAGAGAGAAACAAAATAGATAATTAACTATTTGTATAACTTAATCTATGTCTAATCTAATTAGAATAAAAAAATATATTAATACTTAATATAAATACTCTCTTTTAAAAACAAAGTTAAGGATTAGTCAAGTATATATAACTATGTATTACAGAATATATTCCCTTAATAAAGAGTTGACATTATCTAGATTGCATTAATATACCCATTGATCAGCTTGTTGCTATTCACTAACAGTATCTAATATACTAAAACTTGTCTAAAAATTTTGGCACTATTTGATACCAGGGATCTCTTATACTAGTCAATAACTAGTTAGTATTGAAAATATAGAAAAAAAATAAAGAAAAAAGGTTGAAAATATTTGCAAGATAAGAAAATAAGGGTAAGATAAGAAATACATAACAACAACTTTTATATTTAACTTTGTCTTTGGAAAAATATTTATTCTAAGTCATAACACTTTCAGAAAGTAATGAAAGAGAGGAGATCACAATTCATGTGATATTTATCTATCTGCATAATTAACCAATAGTTTATGATAAATATAAAGTTTTTATGAAGCTTAGAAAATACATTTATTGTACATTTCATATTATATGTATTTTTGTTTAAGTTTTTGCTAACCATAGAGCAACAAATCCCAATCTTTAGACAATTAATTTATTCAAAACCTAATATAACAGAAAATTCAGGGTTAAGTTAGAGTAGACAAAATTCCTTAAAAAAGTCAAGAAGCATTGTTACATACTGAGAGAAAAGCTATTTTTATTTGTAATATTAGCATGGCCCATACTTTTTTCTAGACTTTGGAATTTCTATAAAAAAGAAAGAGAATATACTTTTTAATCTGATTTCTTTTTTTAAAAAAAGTTTTCTTGAAATAAAAAATTGGTTAAATTGACTTGTTTGATATTATAAGTAATGAAAAAAAAATTTTTTTAAGGTTTAAGTGAAGCAAGAAAATTATTTCAATTGGATAAATTCTTTTTGAAAGAAGACTATTTTATTTTTTAATTATTTTGATAAATCTTGAATTATTTTTTTCCTTCAAGCATTTTTTTCATTTTCTTCTAATTTAACAATTCATTGATTTTTGAATCAATTAATAGTGACAAACTGTTGACAATAATCTTGATAAATAGAGATCATAACCAATCTATTAGGAAAACTTAATATTGTTCCAAAAATCTGACTTAAAGTACTTACTGTATATATAAATATAAGTTAGTCACTTTGCAAAAGTCTGTAACTTATTGTAGATTTTGATTTAATTTCTCAATAAAGATATATTATCATGGTATAATTGCAAATTAGCAAAAAAAAAATTAATTATTAAGTTAAATTATTTATAATTATTATAATTGAATTAATATTAAATAAAAATAAACTTGAAATTATAAATATTTAGATATATTATATTCTAAATATAGCATTTATATTGTAATATTTTCTTTTAGTTTTAGATTTGATAGTAAAGTTAAAAATAATGTATTTATCTTGTATAATATTTTTTAAGTTTGATTGTTTTTAACTATTGAGAAGTAAAATAATTAATAATTTTAAAAAGAAGAAGTGTTAAGTTTCTAATATTGATGAAAATGTTTAACGGCCTTTATTATTATAAGATATTTCAATTGCTTTGTTAAGATTGTGACTGATATAAGCAATAGCATAAGCGTTGTTCAATTAAATAAATAAAAATTAAAATAAAATCTTTTAGTTATAATTTTCTTGATTTTAAGAGTGCAATTATTTGATTGATAAATCATTTCACGAAATTCTTAGTAATAAACAGACGTGCATCGATAATTCTTTAATAAGAAAGTGTCATTATTTTATAATTTTTTTTTTATTAAAAAAAATTAGGCCTATTACATCACTTAAAAACAAATGCATTATAATTAAAGGCATATTATCTTATATGTGATCAAATAAATTCATATCTACTGTACTTGGATCAAAATTAAGCTTAATTTTAGAAGAATTCAGTTCTTTCTCACGGCCATTTCGTTTTTGGGAGCCCTTTTCAGTTCTTGCAAGTTTTTTACGCGTCTTATATTTTACGTCATCTCCATCCATATTCTCTGATGCGTCAGATTGAGAGTTTTCAACTTGATCATCAACTTTACGTTTTTTGAAAGTCCCTTTTTCACGGAGAACTTGTCTTCGCTTTCTAAGCACCTTATTTTTTTGATCGTGCGCATTTTGATCATCCAAACTTTCCTGATCTTCCCACGAATTTTTCGCAATTTCGATCTATTTTATTCATTAAAAATAATAATATATACCAAATAAATATCATTCCAAGTACAACTCAACCAATAGGAGATTACCTCGCTTTCGTTTCGCATATATTCATCCAACTCTTCGTCATCTAATGTAACATCAGATTCATGACCTTCACATATGACGTGTCCATCACTAATATCTCTATAATCTTGCATTGAGGATCGATTTTCATTATGATCAGTAAGATCTGTACTTACTACGCTTTCAGGTTCAATACTCATGCCCTTGTCTACCATAGCATGCTTCTTTTGTTTTCCCTTTTCGCGACAGTTAGAAACCCATTCGTAAAATTGAGATAAATCAGCGACGTATAGGTAGCTCCTGCTCTTATTTTCTTGCGCCAGAAAACTCCAAGGAAGACTAATAACCTTCGAATGTAGATAATCAATCATTTCCTTGTACCTGTCGATCATTATTAAGTGAGAATCTACTTGAAACATTTTGCTAACAATATCAGAAGCTCGTTTATGGTTGTTCTTCCATTCATCATGACTTGGTTTTTCAGTGGCCTCAATCGCAATCAATACAATCGCAGCGCCGACAGGCGAAGGTTGCTTTCCAGTTATAATATTACCCTCGTTAGCATATTTGAGCAGCTGCATGCATATTCCGGTAAAAACTTTACGATAATATTTCATGATGCAATCTTGAAATTCTTTATGCGAAACACTTTCCTCCGAATAATTGCTTTCACTCTGAATATCATACACTTGCACGTCTTGTCTAAGGTGATCCAGTTGCATTATATCAACATAAATTGGTAAATTAAATTTGTTGTCATGATTCTCAAGTAGATCGTGTATTACTTTATTAACTAATACTTCAACATCTATAAAACTTGGAACCGAAGGCATAAGATGCATCCGTATCTTGTGTACTACATTTGTAAGATGTTGCATTTCCAAGTCTAACGTGAACTACAATTATAACATTTGTTAATAGAGTCGAAAACCAAAAGAAAAATAAATGAATTAAATATTATATTACCGCCACTTCTCGCATTGTTTTGGGGATTTTTTCCTCCCTAATTATCAATAGTGCACAAGCACCAACTACAACGCGTAAAAGTTGACCTTCACCGACATGAAACTTTTTCTCGACCATATTGAATAGCGCAATAACTTTTGATTCAATGACTTCTAAGCCCAGGGAAGAAGTGGTTTGATTAATGACTAACTCGACCTTATAATAAATAGATAAAAAGGAAAGTTCTAAACTCAACAAGAAAGCTCGAATGCAGAGTAAACCAAATTTGATGGATCATACTTACGGAAGGTCTATTATCGTAGCTATTTGGATCTATTCTCGTACCGTCAAGGGTTTCCGGTCGAAGTGTACGGCCTTCATATAAATCTTCGAGTTTTTTATGAGTGTAGTGAATCTTAATATTCATGTACGCGTAATATAGGAGAAAAATTAATTACCACCCGAATCGGGTACAAGTAATTCGGAAGAAATGCATTCCCCACAATCTTTACAAATTATAGTAGAATCAACGGTTTCAGTTGTTTCATGCCCGCAAACATAGGATTCCATTGTGGTAAAAAAAAAAAAATTGATAGGAAACGAATGTTGAAAGACAAGCAGTGTTAGCTTAAGCATTTTAGTCATTGGTTTATTTAATAAATGCAATTCTAATAAGCGGTTAACTTTTCGAAAATCCATTAGTGCAATCCGAAATTTTTTACTGCTTTTTTTTTTTTTTTTTAACCCATGGTCAGGTCAGCTCTGTGTGTTTATTAATCATGGCTAAACTAAACTGACACACTTGTCAATGGCTTTCAATTCTCAAAAGAGCTTCAGCCTCTAAATGCAACCTTGGGAACAATATTTCGCTCCATAGTAGATTTTGAATAAATACCTTCCTAATTTACCCATTATTGCTAGCAGTTGTCACTGCTTATTATCCTCCATGGAACTGAATTCGAGAAATTACAAAAAGGGAATGGAAAAATAAAAGGAAAAGGGAATATCTAAAACTATGCAAATGCATTACATAAAAAGGACAAAGAAAAAAAAATAAAATTGTTCTATATCTTCCAAAGGACCTTTGCTAAAAACCTCTTTTCATTAGAAATCAACCCTTCTGAAATATTCTTCTTTTTCCTGACCATCTGAGAAACTTATCCATCCATACTTTTGATTATTTTCTTATGACCATCTGAGATACTTAGTATCTATTCGGATCCAGTGTCTTGCTCAATGCTTCCTTTTTTTCAATCTTAATTTTATATCCACATATACAGAAGAAAATAACTAATGGTGAATCCCAGGTTCTTATGTAGCTTTTCAATCTTGTTAAATAACTCTCAATATCTTTCAGCAATTACACCTAGTTAAAGGAATTTTACTAGTATTCATCTTGATTATGATATCATTATACAATGTCTGAGAAAATGCATTCTAAATTCTAGAGAAGAGAAGTGTTTTATATTCCTCTGCTTTTCAGTCTTACAGCCTAACAGGAATAAGAAAAAACCTTATTTACATACTTTGCTTGACCAGAATAATAAGAAGTTGAAGGCCTTGATTTAAACAAATAACCACCTTTTTACCACCTAGAAAATTTAATACCCATCTTAATAGTCTCATGATTTCTTTACTACAGTTAAACTTCATTTAGAGAAATGAAAGAGTTCATATCCTTGATTTCTCTTTTTTTTACCAATGACGTCATCGGAACATGTGAGTATAGATAGTGAAACCTTGTTTATATTTTACTACCAATATGTTTCATGTTAATCGATCAGAAGTCAGATAATACTATGCTATCAGAAATTCGGGATCAAGCTGGGATAAGTAAAATTTTCCTCCAAAATTATAAAAAACTATAGATACTTTAAAAGGACAAGAGACAATATGTGAGAAGGTAAATAATAAGTTTTTTCCTATCTAGAAAATCTCTATCTCCATGTTACATTTAGCTCTGGGAAGTGACACTTCATCAGTTGGTCCTTTTATTTTCTAGAATCTTCTTGCCTTTAGTAGAGAAAATATATGCTTGAGTCTATTTAGGCTACTAAAGTCTCAAGTTTTTGCTTAAATAAGTTTATAAACAAGTGAAGGAAAATAATAGTGACTCTTGAAGACAAGTTTCAAGTTATTTTAAGGAAAGTAGAAAGACTATATTAGTCAAGAAATATAAAAACTTCTTGTAAATGTTTTTTTTGTGTATGGTTAAAGGATTAGTAAAAAGAGTTTTACTTCTGGAATTATTTACTACTTTTTTTTTTTTTTTTACCTGTGGTCAGATCAATATTGTATATTTATTAATTATTAAGAAAACTGATAGAGATACATAGAGCAATTGTATAATGGCTAAACTAAAAGACTCATACTGATATATTCATTAATGGCTTTTAATTCTCAAAAGAGCTTCAGCCTCTAAATACAACCTTGGGAATAATATTTTGCTTTGGATTAAATTTTGGGTAAAGACCCTCTTAACTTATTCATCATTGCCAGCAGATTGTCACTGCTTATTATTTTTCAAGGAACTGAATTTGAGAAACTACAAAAGAGAAAAGGAAAAATAAAAGAAAAGGAAATATCTAAAAATATGCAAATGCATTATATGAAAATGAAAAGAAAAAAAGAAAATTAAAAATGCTCTATATCTTCCAAAGAATCTTTACTAAAAACCTCTTCTAATTAGGAGTCAACCCTTTTGGAATATTCTTCTTCTTCCTGACTATCTGAAAAACTTATCCATCCATTCTCTTAATTATTTTCTTGTAACTATCTAAGATATTTATTGCCTACTCAGATCCAGTATCTTGCTTAACACTTCTTTTTTTTTATTTTGATTTTGTATTCACTTATATAGAAGAAAATGACTAATGGTAAACCCCAGATTCTTATGTCTTGAAATTTTTTACTGTTATTTTTGTAATAAGTCAAATATTAATATTTATTAATTTAATATACTATATTACAAGCTCATACTTATACAAACTCTTTCCACTAATTCTCTGATTACATATAAAAAAGATGTTCCCAAGAAGTTTTTATATTTCTTAACTAATAAAGTCTTCTTACTTTCCTTAAAATAATTTGAAGCTTATCTTCAAATGTTACTATTATTTTTCCTTACTTGTTTACAAACTTCTTTAAATAAAAACTTGGATCTCTAGTAACTTAAATAAACTTAAGCATATATTTTCTCTATTAAAAAAAAGAAGGTTTTAGAAAGTAAAAAAATCAACTTGTGAAGTATTATCTTTCAGAACTGAAAATAATATGGAGATAGAGGTTTTCTAGATAAAAGAAGACTTATTATTCATCTTTTCATATATTATTTTTTTTCTTCTTAAAGTGTCTATAGTTTTTCATAGTTTTTTGAAAAAATTTTGTCTATCCTATTTGACCTTGAATTTTTGATAGTACAATATCATTTGATTTTTAATTGATAAATATAAAACAAATTGATAATAAAATATAAACAAGTTTTCTTTGATTATATTCACATGTTTCGATAATATTAACAACTCTTTCTGCTGATCCTCTGACTATACACAAAAAAGATGTTCGCAAGAAGTTTTAATACTTCTATGCTAATAAAATCTTACTACTTTCTTTAAACCAATCCAAAAAGTTCTCTTAGAACT